AGGACCAGAGTCGACAGCTACCTAGACAGGCTCGACAGGGACTACCTGGGAAACACCTGAGGGAGCAGGACCCTGGGGAGGCGGGGGGTCTACCAAATCAGCACCTGGCGTGAGGAATAGCGGCAGGGGGGGGGGGGGAGCGGGGCAGTGCGGTAGGGGAAGAGACGGTAGAAGGGGACCGACTTGTCAAACGTGACATCCTGAGAGGCGAAGACACGGCGCGAGGTGGGGTGGTAAAACTGCCAGCCAGGCGCGTCAAGGACAAAGCCAAGGAAGACACAGGGAACAGCGCGGGCAGAGAGCTTGTCCGCGGACGTATCGCGGACAAAGGCACGAGATCCTCAGACCTGGAACACAGACGCATCGCCAGCCTCTCCCGTCCAACGTAGTGTCGGCGAGGTCTCCGGAACGGAGACACGGGGCTAGAGGTTGAGCTGATGCGCTGCGTAGCGGACCACAAACGGCCACAGAAAATGGGGGGCAGCCGCATGGACCAAGGAGGTACGAGCGACCTCCATGACCAAGCCAATGCGGCGCTCAGCAACCCCATTCTGTTGAGGAGAGGCTGGAAGCGTGAACGTCTGGCGAGTGCCCTCCCCCTGACAGAAGGTCTCCAAGAGACCGGAGGAAAACTCACCACCTCTGTCAGAGTGCAGTCGCAGGACGGGAAGGTCACTGTGAAAGCGCTTCTCCAGCTGGAGACGGGTAGCGCGGATCCAACGGATCCAAACAGCAGGGACCTCTCCCTTGGTGCGCAAGGGGAAGACCGTGCTGTAACGCGTGTAGTCGTCAACTACCAGCAGGAAGTAGCGCTTTCCTCCCTGTCCACGGACGAGGGCTGGGCCCCACACGTCCATGTGAAGGGTCTGCAGAGGGGCCTCCGTCGGGGGAAACTCAGAGGAGTGAGGGGTGGCACGCTGCCGCCCCTCGACACAGGAAAGTCAGGGAGGGGCAGGGGACGGTGGCAAGGGAGGCAGTGACCTGGGGAGACCAGAGACAAGGTAACGGGAGTGCATGCCATGAAGGCGCTGCATCGAAGGGTGCCCAAGGCGGTGGTGCCAGAGGACCATCCGGTGCGACAGAGTGCGACACAAGCAAGGGGCGGACAACTGACCTGACGCAGACGCCGACGCCGCTACCTGAGGGGACTCAGTGGTCAGTGTGTACAAGTCCGACCCCGGCTGCCTAGTGAAGGTAGCCTGGTGACGACCTCTCTGGGCACACGTGCAGTGTGTCACACGCTCGTAGGCAGGGGTGAACTAGTGAACACCCGCGTCCTGGAGCGCAGAACCCGCCACCAAGTTCGTAGAGAACGAGGGGAGGTAAAGGCCCGACAGTGTGCCGGACGGGACAGCAGGACAAGGGAGGGCAGTGGTGGAGGTCGCAAGGACCGGACCCCCTGAGGGGTCAGCCAAGGAGACAGCAACCGGCCTAGGGAGCTGCTCGAGGGCAGTGCGGTCGCGAAAGAAACAGCGAGAAGCACATGAGTCCAGTGTGAAGGTGTGCAGTGCCTCAGTAGACTCAGTACCTGAAGGCGCAGACTCACAAGCACCTGAAGCAGCAGACACACCTGCACCTAGAGCAGCAGCCTCACCATGACCTGGGGCAGCAGACGCACTAGCACCTAGAGCGGCAGCCTCACTGGTCGCAATGCCTGGGTCTGGTGGTACACACAAGTAACAGTCACCCTCAACACTAATAGTCAATGCATAGATGGCTCCTAGGATAACATCAAAGTCAAGTGCGAAGACATCAATGTTCTTTTTAAGCAGATCAGCCCAGCGGGGCAGCTCAGAGGCCTCAGGGAACTGTGCACGCCAGGCGTCGTCGAGACGGAAGAAGCAGCGCTGTGGCGTGTGGAACCTCCCACACGTCTGACCAGTGCGGTCACCTGTGCGGATGACATACGTGCAGGTACCCCCTCCCCCAGACCCCCCATGCTGAGAGTACCACTCACGAAGCTGCTGGGACGACGGGGTCTCTCTGAGACGCTGCTGCTGGCGCTGGACACCACCCGAACCTCCACGCTGCGGTGGTCCACCCCGACCACCATCCGTACCGCCGCCACCACGCCCACCGCCGCCACCACCACCGCCTCCACCCCGGCCTCCTCCACAACCACTACCGCCACCACCCCCGCCGCTGCCACCGACCCCCCCAGCCCCGCCACCACCCCCACCACTGCCACCACCCCCACCACCCCCACCGCCCCCACCTCCATCCCCACCTCTCCCGCTGGCACCACCACCACCCTTGCCCCCCTTGCCCTTGCCGCCCTTGCGCCTCCAGCTAGGAGCAGACGCAGCCCCGACTTCCTCAGCACCAAGGAAGTCGACAGCGGCAGCAGAGGCAACCGAGGGGAGAAGGGGGGGAGGGGAACACTTGTCAAAGAGGGGCGTGCGGGGGTCGCCACGAGAGGCACCTACAGCATTGATGCTAGACTCAGCTGCAAGCAGATGCTTCTCAAGGAGGTCAATGGTGAGATCGGTGGGGCAGAGGGCGAGAAAGTGGTCCCTGACTGCGCGAAGGGAGTCATGGAGGCGGGCGACTAGGTGGTAGAGAACGAGGTACATCGGGGGGGGGGGGGGATTCTTGGCGAGGAACTCAGCAGGAAGGGCGGCGCGGACGCGAGTGTCACTGGTGCGGAGGTGGGTAATGAGGTCTGCGACTGTGGGAAAAGCGGCGAGATCGGGGAAAAGATAGGGCAGCGAGAGACGGCCTATCGTAGCAGAGGCAGGCGAGGAGTAGCGAGCGACAACTGCATCGTACAGTGCCTTAGCAGTCTTGTGCTGGCCGAAGTGTGCGCGCTCATCTAACGGCAGGTGGCTGCGAATGGCTAGGCGAGCGTGGGCGTCACGAGTCTGCCACTGGGAGCGGGCTGTACTGTCAGCAGTGTCAGCAGGTGCTAGAGCGGTTCCGGACGCGTGGTCATACAGCGAGACATCATCCTTAGCAGTGATCTGGAGGAAGAGGTGGAGATCGTCGAGCCAAGCATCAAACTGGAGCGGACGGCCCTCAGCATCGAAAGAGAGAACAGTGGGTGTAGCCATAGTGGCAGCAGCAGCAGAAGCAGTAGCAGCAGTAGCAGTAAGAGCAGTAGAAGTAGTGGCTGTAGTGAAACGAACAGCTGGAACAGTAGGAACAGGAAGAACAGGTGCTGTAGGTGGGGCGGCGCGGTTCGGTCAGGGCGGCGCGGCTCGGGGGGCACGGCTCGGACGGCGCGACTCGGGCGGCGCGGCTCGGGCACGTAGGGCAGCGCGGCGGCGGGCCTAGCACGGTGGGCGGCGGCGCCTAAGCTGCAGCTGCGCACAGGCCGCGGCTGGGTTCGTGCTGCAGCGAAACGCGAGCTGCAGCAGCCTACTCACGATCGTAACTGCGGGCGGGCTGCGACCTGCGGGCGGGTGGGCGGCGGTGGGTCATGCGCCGTCCTAGGGGCGAGCGGTCGGGCTCGGGCTGAAGTCGCGCGCGGACAGCGGCCTACGAAAGCAGGGGCGGGGACCTACGGGGGGGGGGGGGGCGACGCGACTGCCTACGGGCGGGGCTGCGTCGCTCTGGAAACCCAGCCGGGTGGGTCGACGGGCGGCTAGCGGCCTGCTCGTGGGTGGTGCTAGCTGCGCGGGCGGCCTACAGTCGTCGCGCGCGCGATTCGGGCCGCGCGCGGGCTGCTAGCGGGCTGCTCGCGCTAGGAAAAAAGGGGCCGCGCGCGGGCGGCTAGCGAGCTGCGCACGGGCAGCATGAGAGAACGAGGCGCACGAGGGCGCGATAGTAAAGAGGCGCACGAGGGCGGTGAGAGGGCGCTCTAGGGCGCCAGTAGCGGAAGGGTAGGCCCTTAGTACTAGATGGTCCTAGGTTCCTAACCTAGGCTTCTGATGCCATGTTAGAATGAGAAGGATGAGTTATGTCAAACTTATATGCTATGGTCTATCTAGGCTGTAGTGGGGTAGACACTATAGGGTACAACATTTCTAGGTTTCCTACTTATACCCTCCTGCTTGCTAGTTCATTCATTCATTCCTCATTTCTTCACATGGTATAGAGCAGGTTCCCTAGTGGGAACGCTTCTCAGGGCCCACCACTGAAATCGACTTTTTTTTTCCTAACCGGAGCGCGAGTCGCCCCTGTTCGAGGCGCGCCCCGTTGGCCGCCCTCACGTCGCGTCCCCTGCCTTTAGTGGCCTGTCGCGCCCTCCTAGAGGCCCCTCTCACGGCCCCTCGCGCCACCCTTAGCGGCCCCGTCGCCACCCCTGACAGCCCCAACGTCGTCCTTTGCGGCCCCGTCGCCGCCCCTCTAGGCCCCTCACGGCCCCTTCGCGGCCCCGTCACCGCCCCTCTAGGCCCTTCGCGGCCCCTTTGCGGCCCCGTCGCCGCCCTTCGAGGCCCCTCGCGGCCCCTTTGCGGCCCCGTCGCCGCCCCTAGCGGCCCCGTCGCCGCCCCTATCGGCCCCATCGCCGCCCCTAATGGCCCCGTCGCCGCGCCTAGCGGCCCTGTTGCCGCCCCTAGCGGCCCCGTCGCCGCCCTTCACGGCCCTGTAGCCGCCCCTAACGGCCCCGTCGCCGCCCTTCGTGGCCCCGTCGCCGCCCTTCGCGGCCTCGTCGCCGCCTCTAGCGGCACCGTCGCCGCCCTTCGCGGCCCCGTCGCCGCCTCTAGCGGCCCCGTCGCCGCCCTTCGCGGCCCCGTCGCTGCCTCTTGCGGCCCTGTCGCCGCCCTTCACGGCCCCTTCAGCCGCCAAGCAGCCGAGCCGCCGAGCTACCGAGCCGCCGAGCCGCCGAGCCGCCAAACCGCCGAGCCGCCGAGCCACCCAGTAGCGGAGCCGCCCAGAAGCCGAGCCGCCGAGCCACCGAGCCGAACCACTGAGCAGCCGAGCCGCCGAGGCCGCCGTCGAGCCGCCACTACCGAGCCGCTGCCACCGAGCCGCCGTCGAGCTGCTACTGTTCCTACCGGCGCGCCCCGGCCCTACCCACCCGGACTGGTGAGAGCACTCCCTTCTAGACCACTGCTGTCATGGCTACCCCTAGTGTCCTTACCTTTGATGCTGAGGGTCGTGCTGTTGACTTTGAGGTCTGGGTCGATGACCTCCAGCTCTTCCTACAGTGTGATAGGGCAGACGGACTCTCCCTATTCGATCTCACCTCTGGTGCCTCTCCTGCCCCGCCTGCTGATGCTGACAGCACTGTTCGCTCACAGTGGGCCACACGCGATGCTGCTGCACGTCTTTCTGTGCGTCGCCACTTACCGACCGCTGAGCGTGCGCAATTTAGTTAGTACAAGAGTGGCCGTCATTTGCGGCCCCGTCGCTGCCCCTCAAGGCCCCTCGCAGCCCCTTCGCGGCCCCGTTGCCGCCCCTCTAGGCCCCTAGCGGCCCCTTTGCGGCCCTGTCGCCGCCCCTAGCGGCCCCGTCGCCGCCCTTCGAGGCCCCTTGCGGCCCCTTTGCGGCCCCGTCGCCCGCCCCTAGCGGCCCCGTCGCCGCCCCTATCGGCCCCGTCGCCGCCCTTCGCGGCCCCGTCGCCGCCCTTCGCGGCCCCGTTGCCGCCCCTCTAGGCCCCTCGCGGCCCCTTTGCGGCCCTGTCGCCGCCCCTAGCGGCCCCGTCGCCGCCCTTCGAGGCCCCTCGCGGCCCCTTTGCGGCCCCGTCGCCGCCCCTAGCGGCCCCGTCGCCGCCCCTATCGACCCCGTCGCCGCCCTTCGCGGCCCCGTCGCCGCCCTTCGCGGCCCCGACACCGCCCCTAGCGGCCCCGTCGCCACCCTTCGCGGCCCCGTCGCCACCTCTAGCGGCCCCGTCGCCGCCCTTCGCGACCCCGTCGCCGCCTCTAGCGGCCCCGACGCCGCCCTTCGCGGCCCCGTCGCCGCCTCTAGCGGCCCCGTCGCCGCCCTTCACGGCCCCTTCAGCCGCCAAGCAGCCGAGCCACCGAGCTAAACCCTAAACCCTGAGGCGAAGGCTCGGTCACCATGAAAACTGTCAAACATATATATGTTATATGTTGCAGTTATTGGTAGGCTGTAGTGGGGTAGATTCTGTGGGGTATAACCCCTTAGGGTTTTCCTACTTGTAAAACTCTCTCGATAGTTGAACTTGTGAAGAAATGAGGAATGAATGAACTAGCAAGCAGGAGGGTACAAGTAGGAAACCTAGAAATGTTGTACCCTATAGTGTCTACCCCACTACAGCCTACACAGACTAGAGCATATGAGTTTGACACACCCCCATAGGCAAAGTGGGGGAGAACAAGAGGTCACAAGACCAGTCAAGCAAAGCAAAGCAAGCTCAGGGTGGATCACAACGTCACCACACATTCCGAGCACAAGTTCAAGGCCACAAGGCCAGTTCACATGCAAGATCATATATAAAGGTATACAAGCAAGTGCAGGTATAGAAAGATCACAGTACAAGCAAGGTCAAGAAGTGAGCAAGTGAGGCCAAGTAGGCACAAGACCTAGCATCGTACAGAAGCGCTGATGATCACAAGGCGGAAGTGCCTTGGTAAAGATATCAGCAGTGTTGGCCTCAGAGGCCACGTAAGCAAGGCGTAGCTGACCACGCTGCTACAGCTCACGAGCAAGGAAGTAGCAAAGAGCAATGTGCTCCGTTCTGTGCTCCAGTCTGTGCTCCCGACACAAGGCCAGCATGGCGTTGTTGTCTACGTACAGAACTGGAGGAGAACGAGGCGGCGCTCCTAGGTCAGTCAGCAGGTAGGTGAGCCAGCGTAGCTCCTGTGCAGCCATGGCCCTCGCGTAGATCTCAGCCTCACAGCTGGAGCCGAGAACAGAAGACGAGCGGGTAGACTGCCACGAAATAGAGCCGGAACCAAGGCTGAAGGTGTAACCCTGTGACGACCGCTGCGTAGCCTGGTCGTCAGCCCAAGAAGCGTCTGCGTGACCTGTGAGGACCACAGGACGTCGCCCTCCAAGCACTAGCCCCATGCCCGACGTACTGCACAAGTAGCGCAACACCCTCTTCGCTGCAGCCATGTGCTCTAGTCGGTGTCTCCCAAGAGCAACATAGCGTGCCAAGATGTTAAGAGGGTATGCAAGGTCAGGTCGTGTGCAGGTCATCAGGTACATGAGGCAGCCAACAAGCTCTGGGTACGAGCCACTCGACTCTACGGACTCATCCGAAGGCAGAGCTGAGAGCGAGTGGCGAGTCGACAGACGAGTGGCCTGAGGCGATGAGTACGTGAAGTCGAAGTGCTGAAGGACCTGCTGCACCATGTGTGACTGAGTCAGGGTAATGGTGCGCTGTGCTCTGTCCCGGGTGATCTACAAGCCAAGGTAGCTGCGCAGTTCACCCAGGTCTGTGCACGTGTGTCTCTTCTACAGCTCGAACTTCACGTGGGTGAGTCCAGCAGTGTCAGCAGTGGCAAAGACCAAGTCGTCGACATACACGAGGATGTAGAACGGCCGCAAAGAGGTGTCGGTGCGCAGAAACAGCGACGGGTTGGCAGTAGAAGGAGCAAACCCAAGAGCCGCAAGTGTAGTCCTCAGTGTGTCGTGCCACTCACGGGGCGCATGGCGGAGACCGTAGACTGGCCGCCGGAGGCTACACTGGGTACCAGGGGGAAACAACCCAGTGAAGCCAGGAGGGCGGCGCAGCCAGATCTCCTCGTGTAGGCTGCCCTGCAAGAAAGCTGTGCTGAAGTCAAGAGAGTGAAGCTCGTAGTCGCGCTGAGCGGCTATGTGCAGCAGCACCCAAAGAGTGGTCATCTTCGGGGTGGGAGAGAAGGTCTGAAAGTAGTCAACTCCCTGCCGCTGACTGAAGCCTTGAGCCACATAACGCGCCTTGAAGACAGGCGGAGAACCCGGCGGCCGCTTCACCCTGAAAATTCACATGCCACTGACGATGTTCGCCCCAGGTGGGGGAATCTCGTCGACGTAGGTGCCTGTGGACTTCCAGGAAGCCATCTCTGCGTCCATGGCTGACTGCCACTGTGAGGAGTAGGGACCCTCGATCGCCTCAGCGTACGATCGAGGAGTCGGGATGTGTGGTGCATCCGGGTCTCCCTCAGGGGCAATCAGCGAGGACACGAGATGAGGCAAAGCAGCAGCAAAACACTGGAACTCCTCCTGCCTGTTCTCAAAGACGTCCGTGCTAAGAGCACACTCACCCCCGACGGACGGAGGACAGACAGACTCAGACTCAACAACAAGACTGGCAGCGTAGTCTAGACGACAGCGAGCAGCAAAGTCGACAAGCTCAGCAATTAAGGCAGACGCAGCAGTGGACTCAAAAGAAGGGTCAGTGACAACAACGGCCAGGAGACGCGTGACAGTAGGACTGGCAGCACGAAGAGAGTCAGACTCCGGGTCAGCAAGAGTAGGAAGAGAGGACTCTGGAGGAGACGGCAACGGGACACGCAGAGGAGCAGTGGAAGGACGCAGTGCCATCTGGTGAGTGCCTGGGACCGCAGGAGGACGCGGACGCGGAACACGACTATTAGTGCAAGCAGCACGAACAGGCGACGCAGGACGAGACGCAGGCTCACGACGCTCAGCAAGACCTCCAGTAGGACCAGTGTAGGGAGAAGGAGCAGGCAGAGGGAAGGCGGGCTGTAACTGTGACCGCGACCTGACAGGCTGTGGACACTCTAAGGGAGGAGCAGGACCAGTAGAGGGCGGGAGACCAAGAACCTGCTCAAGGAGCGGAACGAAGTACGGCCGCGGCCGCGCAGCGCCTCCAGAACCAGCAGGGACAGCACCAGTACCCCCAGCGGCAGCACCAGCGCCAGCAGCACCTCCTGCTCCAGCCGCGCCAACTCCAGCAACCTCAGAAGCACCAGCGCCAACACCCTCAGCAGCTCCAGCTCCAGCAGCTCCAGTAGCACCTACTCAAGCAGGGCCACCAGCTCCAGCACTGCCAGGAGCTCCAGCACTAGGAGCACCTCCCGGCCCAGCAGCTCCAGTCTCCCCAGCAGTACCAGCAGCTCCAGTACCTCCAGCAGCACCAACTCCAGCAGCCCCAGCAGCACCTCTAGTACAAGCAGCACGGCTCCAGCGCCGGGCAAACCACTCACGCAACTCCTGTGGAGAGGCTCAGCACCCCCAGGCTCCGCACCCCCAGGCTTCGCACCCCCAGGCTCAGTACCCCCAGGCTCAGCACCCCCAGAATCATCACCCCTAGCAGCACCAGAGTCAACAGCTACCACGACAGGCTTGACTGCGTCTACCTGGGACACACCTGACGGGGCAGGACCCTGACGGGGGAGAGGGTCTATTGGGGGGGGGACCTGGCGCAAGGAAGAGCGGCGGCGGGGGGAGGGGCGCAGTGCGGTAGGGGAAGAGATGGTAGTAAGGAGCCAACTCGTCAAAGGTGACATCCTGGGAGGAAAGAACACGGCGCGTGGTGGGGTGGTAAAACTGCCAACCAGGCGCGTCAGGGGGAAAGCCAAGGAAGACGCAAGGAACAGCACGGGGGGACAGCTTGTCCGCAGACAAGTCGCGGACAAACGCCCGAGATCCCCAGACACAAAACGCAGACGCATCGCCAACCTTCCCCGTCCACCGCAAGGTGGGGGAGGTCTCTGGCAAGGAGACCCGGGGCTGAAGGTTGATCTGATGCGCCGCGTACTGAACCGCGAACGGCCACAGAAAATGGGGAGCAGCCGCATGGATCATGGACGTACGAGCGACGTCCATGACCATGCCAATGCGGCGCTCAGCAATCCCATTTTGCTGTGGAGAGGCCGGAAGCGTGAACGTCTGGCGGATGCCCTGTGCATGACAGTTGCTCGCAGAAGGTCAGAGGAAAACTCACCTCCTCTGTCGGAGTGCAGACGCAGGACAGGAAAGTCCGAGCGGAAACTCTCTCTAAGCTGGAGACGAGCTGCGCGGATCCAGTCGATCAACACCTCAGTGACCTCACCCTTGCTGCGCAACGGGAAGACTGTGGTGTAACGCGAGTAGTCGTCAACCACCAGCAGGAAGTTAAGCTCGTGACCCTGTCCACGGACGCGGGCTGGGCCCCACACGTCCATGTGAAGCGTTTGCAGCGGAGCCTCTATCGGAGGAAACTCGGAGGAGTGAGGAGCGGTGCGCTGCCGCCCCTCGACGCAGGGAACGCAGGTGGGGGCAGGCCCCGGAGGAAGAGAAGGGAGGGACCGGGGGAGACCCGAGACAAAGAAATGAGAGGCCATGCCTCGGAGACGAGGTAGGGAGGGGTGACCAAGGCGGTGGTGCCAAAGGAGAGTCTGGTGGGACAATAGACGACACGAGCAGGGGGCAGACTCAGGACCCAACCCGGACGCTGCAGCAAACACCTGACTCGACGCAGCTACCTAAGGAGACTCAGTAGTCAGTATGTACAGGCTCGACCCCGGCTGACGGGTAAATGTGGCCAAGTGTCGGCCCGTACGAGCACACGTACAGTGGGTCACTCGCTGACGCGCAGGAGTGAACTGGTCAACCCCTCCATCCTGTAGGTAAGCACCACTCACCAAGTTCGTAGAGAACGAGGGGAGGTGAAGACCTGACAGGGAGCCAGAAGGGGCGGCCGGACACGGTAAGACAGTGGAGAAGTGGGCAAGGACAGGACCCCCAGAGGGGTCTGCCAGGGAGACTGCAACCGGCCGACTAAGCGGCGTGAGTGTGGTGCGGTCTCGAAAGAAGGAGCGGGAAGCACCCGAGTCAAGGGTGAAGGTGTGTAAAACCTGAGCTGACGTGGTACCTGAGAGAGCAGACTCACCAGCACCTGGGGCAGCAGACTCACCAGCACATGGAGGAGTAGACGCACTAGCACCTAGAGCAGCAGCCTCACCAGCACCTAGAGCAGCAGCCTCAATGCCTGGGTCAGGAGGAACACATAGGTAACAGTCACCCACATCTCTAGTAGGCAATGCATACATGGAAATGAGGATGACATCATAGTCAAGAGCATAGATATCTACCCTCTGCCTAAGCAGCTCCACCCAGTCGGGGAGCTCAGCC